CCCCCCCCCATTCAACCTGAGTGTGGGTGGGGGGGCTTGGCTGGGGCAGGCACCCCCCCCCCCCATTCAACCTGAGTGGGTTGAAAGAGTTAGCACCCGTTACCATCACCGGTTGGGCGGGGGGTCAATAACTAGCTCTCTGGGTACTGTCACCCCCACCCCCGGGGGGGCATCTCAGATTGACCTGAAATGTCCAACAGTTTAAGGTGGTTAACTCGCCGAGAACCCCATCTGGAAATGTCTTCATTAATGTTCCCTCTTTCCGGAACTGGCGGTGGGAGAATGCTCCCGGGAGCGCCGGGTTTATGTTCACAGGGCGCGTCCACGCGGGGTTGGTGCGCGTCACCGAGGCGGAAGCGCGGCCCGGCCGTGTCTCGGGGATGTGCCCGTATTCCGGCTCATTGTGGGGAGCGGGGCTGCGCTCGGGCCGGTGTCTCTGAGCGGTGCCGAGTGAGACAGCAGCGCTGCTGCCGCTGCCCGTGTGTGTGTGTGTGTGTAGGACTCTTACTCCCCCTCCCCGGGGGGGAGAGCATTCCTGCTCCCGATGGCTTCCCGGGTGGATTATATCGCTCCGTGGTGGACTTACTGGCTGCACAATTTCCCGCATGTCAACCTCCGCTTGCAGCCAGTGGATAGCACCTTCAACCCGCAGGATGGCAACTACCAGCAGGTCAGGGGCTCTCTGCACTTGGTCTGTTTGTTTCACAAGTTTGTCTGCCTGTTCCACCCCCGTACCCACTTCCGTGTCTCTCTGTGTGCACCCGTGCCTGTCTCTGTCCTCCCAACCCATTCCCCTGTCCACCTGTCTTTCTGACCCCTCTCCCCTCAGTCCACTCCTGTGTCTGCCTGTCTGCGTGCTTTCCAGTCTGTCTGTGTCCCCCAACACACTCTTACTCCCCTAAATACCTGTTTGGATCCACCCCCTTACTTCAGCTTGTCTGACTGTGCAACCCCTCAAACTGCTTGTATGACCGATCGATACCCCTATTGGGCCTGTTTGGGCCCTCACCCTCCATGCCTGCTTACCTGTCTCCACCCCTCTGCTTCCAATTCCCTGTCTGTGCCTCCCTCCACCCATGTCTGCCTATCTGTCTGATCATGCCTCCCTTGCATCCGCCTGTCTCTGTCTGATTGTACCATCTCGTGCCTGTTTGTCTGCGCCACCTTTCTTCTCTCTGCATCTATCTACCTATCTGTGCCATGCATCTGCCTATCCTTCACCCTACCCCCCAACACCATATCTGTTAGTGTGTCTGACAAACTGTGCCCCCATATCCCTGTCAGACTTTACTCCTCTGCCCACCTGTCTGCCTGTTTCTTGCCATGTAGCATAGTGGGTAAAGGGCAAGGATTTGCATCTTGAAGATTTGATCGGCTGCCCACTACGTCTAAGTCCTCAAATGATTTTTTTAAAACTGAGAAATAAGCTCCCACTACTACAACATACAGTATATTTTTAGTACCTCGCCCATCCTGATGTCCAACATCTTACCCAGGTATCTCTTATCCCTTGTCTCAGTCCCTGATGGACTTCTGTATTTGTTTTGCACAGATGTGATATTGTACAATGTATAAAATTCCTATGTGGATCATGCTGTGATTTTTCACCTTTACAACTATAGAAATCAACTTAAAGGTGTTTCCTAAGCAGTTGTTTTTGTTCTTTGTTTGCTGAGTTGTACTATATTTAATAATGTTTTATTCACAATGGCACTTTTTAACTTTTCACAGGTAAATTTAAAATGATTTTAACTGAATTGAATAAATTGTGAAGAATAGAAATACATTGAGGAATTAGCACCCCCTCAATAGTTTCCAAGGAAGATGTGTTTTCTTGATAAAGTAGATCTTAGAGAATATAATCTAGAATGAACAGATATATTTAATAGTTGGAACCAAGCCAGGAAGACCAGGAAATCCCAGGCTCAATCACAGAGCTAACATCCCTCTGTCATAGGAATGGTGTACATTTGGCCTCATCCTCAGACTAACAAGGGAAGTCAGCCAGAGTTCCCAGGTTCATGGCATTTTTTGCAGTAAGGCTATGAACTAGCCTTCAAATGATTTTCAAAAGAATTTGATTCATAAAAGGAAATCCTTTGTGATGTCCGTAACAAAAACAATGTGAGATATGCATTTTAAATGTAATCATAAAGTTCAAAGAGGGCATTTAATGCGGTTAATTGAAAGGTAGTAAGGCTCAGGTTTTTTACTTGAGCAATTAAATGATGAATGCAGGAAATGATCTGCTTAGATTTTTCCAATATAAAGTGTCAATATCTGGGGCTATTAAAACTTTCAATTATAGGAATGTAGATCTAAGAAAATTCCATTTCACTATCTGCATGCCGTTCTCCACATTTAATTGTCAAGTTTAGCTTTTGTGGTAATGGTCATTTTGTGATTTGTTCTTTGGAATTTAAAAAAAGTGATGTTTGTTTTAGTTAAGGTCTAATGTTAATTTTGTAAAAGAAAGTTGCTGCATTAATTATCCTTGTGAAACCATAGCTTCAAGTTTTTCAAGAGTGTAAAGGTAGAAATCAGGCATGTATGACTAAAAACTATGAACTAATACCAGACAATCTTCTATTGCTAGGTGGCATTACTCAATCCAAAATGCAAATTCTGATATTTATTATGATCCTTTTACATCCAGAACATATTGCAGTTATTTTCATCTCTGTAATGCAGCAAATTTTACTGAAGCATTAGAAGAAAATACAAAAGTTTAAAATTGTTCCTCCTTAATGATGCTGAAGCCTTCATATACATAAAATTACACTTGTATCAATTACAAAGTGTGCTTCATATATAAGTCATTTGATTCTTCATTCCAAAATACATTCTGCTATTATATTTGCTTTATTTACCACAGGTTAACCATATTGGCTTGAGACCGAAGTACTTTGCATATTTTTCCAAACTGCATTCCCAAATTTTTCCCACCTTTTCTCAGTTCCTCCAGAAATCTCATGATTGACCTGTAGTTCTTGTTGAAAATTTCAATGGTGGAGAAATTCATCAAGAAGAGTTAACCCACTGCTATGTGTCAGTTGAATGTTGCATTAATAATAACCTCTGGAACTATTTGCCTTTGGCTGCAAAGTACAAAATTAGCATCATGTGCTATTACATTCTAAAGGCTTGAAGTGAATATGAGAGCATTTTTACAGAACGTCTTGTGTAATTTTACCCATATTTAGATGGACTGATAGAGTCACACGACATGGAAATAGACCCTTCAGTCCAACTAGTCCATGCTGACCTTGTTCCCAAACTAAACTAATCCCAATTGCCTGCATGTGGCCCATATCCCTCCAAACCTTTCCTATTCATGTAGTTATCCAGGTATCTTTTATATATTGTAACTGTACCTGCATCCACCACTTCCTCTGGCAGTTCATTCCACACACGAATCACTCTATGTAAAAAAGTTGCCCCTCATGTACTTTTTAAAACTTTCTTCTCTCACCTTAAAAATATGCCCCCTAGATTTGAACTCACCCACCCCAGGGAAAAGACCCTTGCTATTCACCTTATCTGTGCCCCTCATGATTTTATCAACCTCTATAAGGTCACCCCTCAACCCCCCATGCTCCAGTGCAAAAAGTCCCAGCCTATTTTTATAACTCAAACCCTCCATTCCCAGCAACATCCTGGTAAATTTTTTCTGAATCCTCTCCAATTTAATAATATCCTTCCTATAGCAGGGCCACCAGACTGCACACAGTACTCCAGAAGAGGCCTCACCAACATCCTGTACTACCTCAACATGACATCCCAACTTCTATGCTCAAAGGATTGAGCAATGAAAGCAAGCGTGCTAAACGCCTTCTTAACCACCCTGTCTACTTGTGACATAAATGTCAAGGAATTATGTACCTGTACCCGTAGGTGTCTCTGTTCTACAACACTACCCAGGGCCCTACCATTAATTGTATAAGAACTGCCCTTGTCTGTTTTACCAAATATAATACCTCGTATTTATCCAAATTAATGTGCCACTCCTCAGCCCATTGACCCAATTGATCAAGATTCCTTTGTCATCATAGATGACCTTCTTCACTGTCCACTATACAACCAATTTTGGCCTCATCCACAAACTTACTAACCATGTCTCCTATACTCTCATCCAAATCGTTTATATAAATGACAAACGAAAGCGAGCCCAGTACTTATCTCTGTGGAACACCGCTGATCACAGACCTCCAGTCTGAAAAACAAACCTCCACCACCACCATCCTCTGTCTCCTATGCTCAAGCCAATTTTGTACCCAATTGGCAAGCTCACATTGAATCCCATGAGAACTAACTTTACTAATTTGTTTACCATGCAGAACCTTGTCAAAGGCTTTACTAAAGCCCCTGTAAACAATGACTACTGATCTACCCTCATCAATCATTTTGGTTACTTCCTCAAAAACCTTACAAGTTTGAGAGACAGATTTCCCTCGCACAAAACCATGCTGACTACCCCTATCTGTCCTTGTCTCTCAAAGTTCATGTAAATCCTCTCTTTCAGAATTACCTGCAACAACTTAAACACCACTGATGTCAGGATCACAGGTCTATAGTTCCAGGCTTCTCCTTACAGCCTTTCTTAAATAAAGACGCCACATTGGCCATCCTCCAGACCTCCAGCACCTTACCTGTGGTTGTAGATGATACAAATACTTTTGCTTGAGGCCCTGCAATTTCTTTCCTAACTTCCCACAATGTCCAGGTATCCACTTGATCAGGTCCTGGAGATTTATCCACCTTTATGTTTTCTAAGACCTCAGCACTTCCTTTTCTGTAATGCGTACTGTTTTCAAAACATCAATATTGATTTCCCTGAGTTCTCTAGCCTCCATGTTTTTCCCCACAGTAAAAACAGATGTGAAATATTCACTTAGTATCTCTCCCATTGCCTGAGTTTCAACACATAGATGACCTCGTTGATGTTTAAAGGGCCCTATTCTCTCTTTAGTTGCTCTTTTGTTCTTAATGTACTTGTAGAATTACTTTGGATTATCCTCAACCCTATCTGTCAAGGCTATCCCATATCCTGTCTTTGCCCTCCTGATTTCCATCTGAAGGATGCCCCTACACTCTTTATACTTGTCAAGAGATACATTTGAACCCAGTTGTCTATATCTAATATATGATTCTTTCTTATTCTTGACTAGAACATCCATTTTTTGTTCATCCATTGTTCCCTAATCTTACCAGCCTTGCCCTTCACTCTCACAGGAACATAATGCGTCTGAACTCCCGTTATCGCACCTTTGAAAGCCTCCCACTTGTCAGTTGTCTCTTTACCTGCAAATAGTTTACTCCAATCAATATTTGAAAGTTCTTGTTTCATACCAATAAAATTTGCCTTGCTCCAATTAAGAACTTTAACTTTTATAGAAGGCTCCTCCTTTTCCCTAACTATTTTAAAATTAATAGAATTATGATCACTAGTGCCAAAGTGTTCCCCTACTAACACTTCAGTCACTTGTCCTACCTTATTTCTAAAGAGAAGATGTGCAAATTCAAATTTCTGCTTCAACTTTACTTTGAATGCTGTCCTCAAACAGTTGATTACACTCATTCTTGTTTAAATATGTTTTGTTGATTTTCTGGATGATGTTCCACAGACTGTTGATATAGTCAGTGGACATCCTGCATGGTTAACTTGGCTTC